GTTTTTTTTCGGGGTGGGGGTGCAGGGGGAGGGGCTCCGCCCCTCCCCCGCCAACATGTGTACTAGCGGTGTTGAATCGTACTGTGGTCAATAGAGTATCACCCGTGTAAGTTTTGTCTGCTGACCCAATCATTAAAAACACAAGGAAGTTTCTACTTTTCCAATTCTAACTTGCATAACTATAAAAAAAATTATACTACATGCGTGTTCCTGTTACAAATCCTGTTACAATAAAATTATAAAGTTGATCATTGGTAATGATTGCTCCGCATAATCGAAGTTCAAGCCCAATAATTTTTTTTTTGTGTTACGTCCCAGTGGCCGGGTCACGGTCTTGCGGCCGTTTACACCTGCCGGACGTACGTCCTCCCTTTTTGATCAACCCTGGGGCTTTACCGGAGCGGGGAATGAAGATATGACTGGGAGGTAGGATAGGGTCTTCTGTTCCGGATTAAATTGAAAGACTGTCAAGTATGTACACAGTGGGGTCCTGAAGCGTATAAAAATCGTCGGTGTGTTCCGCAATAAAATCAATGTAGGCAAAGTGGCACTTCTCGCACTCTTCTACCGGTCGATATATCGTTAAATTTCGTGAGCACCATTTAACAAACTCACAGTCAGATTTGATCTGCGCATGCAAGGTTATCCTAAATGTATACGCAAAAAAAACTATTCTAGGTCTTAAATAGTCTAAGAACTAATTTACAAAACGGTAATAATGCTAATTGTTTAACTATTATACAGATCGATAGATATATATGCGCTTACAATAACAAAGCAGAATATAATTATTATGGCAGAATTATAAAAACGTAAATTATAGAAACTATTATAATGTAGAATTAATTAATAAAGACATGAGGTAATAATAAACTTAACTCATAACATATAGAATTATACTAACAGCAGTAACCACCACCGGGAAGTTGAAAAGTTTCCGAAAAGTCCCGGAATTTGTCAAGATAAATTTTGACGAACATAAACATTTTGTTTATTACCACATGCTGTGTTCAATGACACATAGTCGATATTGTAAATTTAGGATATCTTGAGAACTAAGACAGCTAGGGCAAAATTAATTTTACAGAGGCCTTTCATCCACTGGTTTGTAAATTATGGCGATGAGTGAAAATAAACAATTTAAATATCTTGCGAACCATAAGAGGTATCGAAAAACGGTTTTTTGAGTTTTTATTCTATTACTTAGATGCAAAATATTACATAATAAAAAGTTAATAATTTTAATTATTTAAACACTTGTTTGTTACCAACAATAGTTAGACGTTCCGAAACACACTGGTATTTTGCAGGTTTTTACGTTGAAGACAATGGTGCAAACCGTTTTTTTTATCTCTTTTAATTTCTGAAATATTAATTTTGCAACTTACGGGTTGCCGCCTGGTTCTGACCTAAGTTACTTAACTTATGACTAACGATAACAGAAACATGATGATAACTAACGCGGGTTGATAAATTATTCGGAAACTTGGTTTTTGGCAAATGTTAATTTACCGACCGTGGCAAATGTTTAAGAACCCAGCAAACAAAATGATGGCAACGTGCCGACATTATGCAAGCATGCTTTCCATGGCGTGCTGTTTCTGTGACTGCTAGATACAGGTCCATGTGGCAAGCATCGCGACGACACGTTATGCTCAACACTCTCTGCGAGCTTTGTGTAAGCAGAATGCACTTTAGAATGCCGGCATCATGCAGACACACAATTCTTGATTAGTACTAAATCCTGCTTTTAGCTTAAGTTAGGATTTTTCAGTTAAAATATAAATAAAACACAATTTAAAAATATTTCTTTATTTAGAATATATTAAATATTTATAATATACATAATATTTATAATATACATAATATCTATAATATATATAAAGTATTTATGATACATATTATATTTAAACTCTTATATTATGTTAGTTATATTGTATTCTTATATTCAAATTGCTGAGCACAGAATTGCAGAAATGCACGTAGACCTTCCTTCGTACAATATAGTGTAGCCTCGTCTTTTGTTCGACTGTAAAACTGCACACCAACTAAAAGATTTTGAAGAAATAATATGTAGAAATATCACAACCTTATTGAAAATAGAAATTTGCACATATTCATACATGTACTTACACATTTATGTTAAAATGTGTATATAAGCCAAATATATAAAATTATAAATGTGTGTGTGTGTGGACTTACTTTATATAAATAAATGATGATGGGTGTAATCAGCTTCAAATTTGTTTAACTTAAATAATGTTTAGACATTAAAAATGGCTGTTTGAAGCAAAACACTGATGATAATGTATATGTAAAAGTGTGTTACTTTGTTTGAGAAAATTAATATATAACGGTTTTGCCCTTCGAATTAGGCCTTTTTCAATATAAGTAAACAAATAGTAGTGTTTGTTACTTTGTAACTTGCTGAGCGCAATTATGTGTAGTTGTGTCAAGTTTGTTTCAAGAACTCTATAACTATGTTCACATGTATGAGATAAACACCACTATTTGTTTACTTGTATTGAAAAAGGCCTAATTCGAAGGCCGAAAACGTTATATATTAGTTTTNTCAAATAAAGTAACACACTTTTACATACACATCATCATCAGTGTTTTGCTTCAAACAGTCATTGTTAATGTCTAAACATTATTTAATTTTACTTTATAAATCCAATGGAATATATATCCAAATTGCTGAGCATAGAATTGCAGAAATACACGTAGACCTTCCTTTGTACAATATAGTGTAGACTTGTCTTTTGTTCGACTGTAAAACTGATGCATACCAACTGAAAGATTTTGAAGAGATTATATGTAAAAATATCACTAACTTAGTGAAAATAGAAATTTGCGCATACTCATACATGTACTTACACATTTATGTTAAAACGTGTATATAAGCCAAATATATAAAATTAGAAATGTGTGTGTGTGTGTGTACTTACTTTATATATCCAATCGAATATATATTCAAATTGCTGGGCACAGAATTGCAGAAATGCACGTAGACCTTCCTTCGTACAATATAGTGTAGCCTCGTCTTTTGTTTGAGTGTAAAACTGATGCACACCAACTAAAAAATTTTGAAGAGATTATATGAAGAGTGGTTAGAAGAGGTTATATTGTGAGAATGAGGTTACAGAAGTATCACTAACTTATTGAAAATACAAATTTGCACATATTCATACATGTACACATTTATGTTAAAATGTGTATATAAGCCAGATATATAAAATTATAAATGTGTGTGTGTGTATATTTACTTTCTACATGTAATATAATTATATATCCAACTTGCCGAGCACAAATTGCAAGATGCATCTTTTTTACAACACAGTACAGCCTTGTTTGTGCGTGCAATAACCGTTATCTTATATCAACACCGATAAACTATACGATTTTAATTTTTTTGGTTACAAAATTGCCGAATGTGTATAATAATAACTTAACGGTTATTGCTTGCATAAACAAGGTCTCAATGCTGATGCAGATACACTTCTAGACAAGGGGAAAAGACAAGCAGAGGGAAAGAATAGATTGTGCTGCCGGAGAATCACCAAATTAAAAGTAGCGACATCTGTCGGTCCTCCTGCAATGCTTACCTCAGCACGCCATAATATCATTTTGTTAGCATACAACGCGTGTCATCACTGAACAACACTTTACCAACATATTGTTCACATGACAAGCTTTTCACGGCGTGCTGACACGTGATGTTTGCTGGGTACGGTAAAATGATGGTACTGGTAACATTACTAACTCTGGTACTTAAAAGGAACGGAGGTTATTAGTAGAACCCGTTACCGGCATTAGTTACCTCTTAACTTTGTGTCTTTTGGCTTATTTTACCGTACTCGCATTTATTCAAAGTCTATATGCTATGGTCAAGAAGCGTAAAGTCTAAAGGCGGTGTTTTTAAGGAAGACTCTTTTGACCAATCAGAACACTTTTTGATTTCTAACCGGGTTTTTAAAGTGATTTTTTGAACGAGACTTACCGGATGGTACTCACACGGGTTTAAGGAGCTAAAAAACGCGATAAAGCTACTAACCAATCAGATTGTTTCTCGATCTTTTGACCATGTTCCTGAACGTACTTTTGAAAAAGAGTTAGTGGACCCTACTTGCAGGCGTCCAGAAAGTCAAGAAAGTGCGACAAAATTACTGACCAATCAAACGCGTTTTAATAGACTGGTTGACCAATGAGATTTCTTTTACCCTTTTCAATGGTTAAACATGAATTTCAAGAAAAGGCTAACTTGGCGTAGTTGCTACGTGCTTTGTCAACTAATACGGCAAGTTTTTGCATTTTAGCCAATCAGGTTGTTTGTCACCAGGCAATCAGCCAATCAGATGTTTTTACTGATTTTGACCGACTTCCTGAACAAATTTTGAAGAAGGCAACAGTTGTCGCGACTTGTAGGAGTCTAGAAACTTAGAAATGACAGAAAACTGTCTTGACCACTCAGATGATTTTACGGGTTTTTAACCAACTTCTCGGTCGATTTTTAGGAAAAGAATTACAGGAGATGACGTACAAGAACTTGGCGAGTCGGAATCCACGATAAAACGACTGACCAATCAGATTGCTTGTTACTAGGAGGACGACCAATCAGACTTTATCATAGGGTAAAACAGCTAAATTAGTCTCGTAGGCTAACAAAACGTGTAGTACACGTTAAAAGCAGTTACATGAACACAATAAATGCAAAACAACAGTGAAAACGACACTTGCAAAATTGGTAGGTACAAAAACGCGACTCGGAGTAGTAACTTCTTAAGTTTAAGTGATGACACAGTGGTTCGGACCGTAGTTTAACGTCTTTACGGACGCTTGACAATGGGAGATACTACTGACAACACATGCTAATAAAATAAGATAACAAGAGAAAAATAGAGAAAAAAAAATGTAAAACGGGTCAACCGGGGCTCACCATAGCCACGTCTACAGACGTCGCAATTGATATTATTTCGCTTGACATTTGCTGCGCAACCTCACGTATATCGCACTACAACGTTATCGTCGTTAATGCTCGCGTTGTCGAACTTATATACGATTTGGAGCGTTCGAGCAAACCCGGTGCAACCAATGAATTCGACAACAAACCTGGGCGTCCACAACGCCGATTAACATTAACCACCAAAAACAACGTTTTATCAAGACGATATGCTGCAATTTGAAATCAGCGTATTTGGGACGCTATATACACGGCCGGAGCAATTGTTCTGGACACACAGTCTGTCTCTGAGATTCATCCTGTTTAGTTCGCTTCGCAAAAACGTCAGTTTGGAATAATTTGTTCCAGTCGGGACTTAGAAAATTTTAATGTTTTCGTGTCGGGACTTAGAATCTTTTAATTTTTTCCAGTCAGGACTTAGAATATTTTAAGTACTTCCAGTTAGAACTTAGAATCTTTTAATTACTTCCAGTCAGGACTTAGAATATTTTAATTTCTTCGTGTCGGTACTTAAAATATTTTAATTACTTCCAGTTAGAACTTAGAATATTTTAATTTTTTCCAGTTAGGACTTAGAATATTGTAATTTTTTCGTGTCGG